CTAGTTCATGTGACACATTACTCAATTGCGCTGGGAGGTTTATTTTCTCCTCTGTTGTCCTTAGTCCTCTCCCCCTCCACTACATGGTAGCCATCAAACTACCCAAGGGTGTTATTAAGGCTATTGACCATAGGTGTGTCGTGCTTTCTTTTGGATTAGGGAGGATACTTGCCATGAACACTAGTGGCTTGGGCCTAAAGGATCTCGTTATTAAGGCCTCTTTGCTTGGGAACAAATTTGTGCCCCAAGAACACTAGTGGCTTGGGCCTAAAGGATCTGGAGACCCAAAACAAGTTCATACTCATCAGATTTGTTGGTAAACTCTTCTCCAACAATCTCCCCCTTGGAAGCACTAGATTCTTAGAGAGGTCAATGAACATGGCCTCACCGCCCACATATCCTCTTTCCTACCTTTTGCTCATCATAGACGATCACCTTAACTCTTATCGCGCTCTCGCCAACATCTCCATAGGGAATGGGGCAACAACCACCTTTTGGGTTGATACTTGGTTGGTTTCTGAAACTCTAGTCACTTTCTATCTTGCTCCTTTCTCTCACAACAATTGGCGTAATGTTTTAATTCAATATGTTTTTTAGAATGAGATGGAATTGCACCTTAGGGTGCAATCGACAAAGTTGTCTAGTGCGACCTGACTCTTTTACTTTCAAACCTCTATTAGGTATAAGCTAACCTCTTCCACAAGCATGTCGTCGATGGAGAGGACTGCTAGCGGTGCGGTGCCACTACTAAAATGAGGGCTCGCCGTTTCTTCAAGTGCCCTGAAAGCTCAAGATTCTAAGACACTCTTGAAAATCTTGTCTAAGCACAAGCAGGCGAAATCTAGACTTTGACCGATCTTCTTGACGTCCCGCCCGCTAGGTTAGGTGGCACTCGATGATGCTCATGATTCTCTGGAGAATCTAGGAAGCAAGAAACAGTTTCACCTTTTGGCATGAACTGTTTGTTGTCCGCTGCATACTCTCGATTGTTTGTGGTGATCTAGACATTTGGATTCACCATTTTGTAAACCCGCTTCACTAGATCCCAATGTAATTTTCCAAACTCCTCCCCTTTATAGCTCTTGCTCTCTTGCTTTTTTGAATGAAATATTCGGGTGAGGACCCTCCCCCTCCTAGTTGCATTAAGAAGACAAACATGCCCTACATGCGGGGTGGTACTACTACTGGTTAGACTTTGAGTGAAATCATGATCAAAATAACTGCACATCTCACTTTTCGAGGAGCCATTTAAAAAAACTAAATTTATAGAAAATATTGTCAACATTTTTATCTTCTTATATTATAAAACTACTCTACTATTAATCTAATGATACTTATCCTGAATCATAAATATATTTCCATATATAGTCTATCGAACTTTAAAAAGTTTTCTTTAAAAAGCGTGATATGTATTTACTTTGGCATGGAGGGAGTAATCAGTAGCGGACCCAAAACCTTATATAAGCCCAGGCGGATATAATGGCTATGTATGAGATTAAGTCTAATCTCTTAAATATTTAGGCTAAACAATATTTTTTCATAAGAGAATCGGCGTCGATGAGCCCGGGCGGCAGCCCGCCGGGCCCTGGGTCAGCCAGTGGGAATAGTTTAGAAATGTGATTGGTACCCACTAGGACAATTTTGGAGTATTGACACCAGTGCTATATTTGGCGCACAGCCGGTATCAGCTGCTCTTGTTGCCATGCATGCAAACGAGCAGAGCAGGAGCTGCAGACGGATAGGTAGACAGATACTGAATAAAGAGATTTGAGGCTGATTTTGCTGAATGTTTTCAGTATGCGTCCGGCCGGCCGGACGGATCAGATAGCAGAGCACGATACAGCCGATGATATCGGGATTGATTGCAGAAGCGGGTGTATGTGTACTAGTCAGCGTAGTCAATCCCACAACCAATAGCGTAAGATTTTGAATACTGAATCTGCGAGATTCAGAAAACTGAATCCACACAGGCTTGACCACCAGAAAAAACAACGCAAATCAGTGAGATCTCGGCACTTAGGTGAGCAGTTAAATAAACATGGAGTGTATTAAGCCAAGGTCACCGAGACATCCGATGGCAGCAGTAAAAAAAATAGCAATGGCAACAGAAATTGAATCCAAGCATAAGTACAGAGGGTGATTCCCATTTGCTTGTATGTACAGGGTACGAACAAAGAGTGACTGCATGAAGGTAATTAGAACAATTTTGATGAGCTTCAGTCTCCACAGCTGCAGCGTTCCCAAAAACATTGTTACCAGTTAAGCACTACAAATGTTGTACGGTTAGCCCCCTCACTGCATAATAAGCAAAATACACCAGCGTTATCATGTGAGAATAGATAGGGTATATGCATGCAATAAGCTGTCTGCTAAACAACACTGCGCAAAGCACATAATGAACAAAGGTTTAATTAGACTACACAATGGAAAGCTCTTTTTTGCTCAACCATTACAAAGACCTTTGTGATTTCATTATATGAAACACTGAATAGAGAAGAATTCTGAGTCAGGCAGAGAAGAATTCTGAGTCAGGCAGTGAGCTTATGCTCAGATTCCAAGCCAACAAAGAAACATTGGATTGTCTAACTGTCAACCATATACAATGATATGAGTACCCATCCTTCTACAGTTCAAAGTTTAAAACCAACTAGATATCATCTGGTACTGTAAAATCTACAACCTATGGTATTCATGAATGCTGTCATATGATATGGGCCGGATAAGTTCACTTGGCAAAGCTTAGCAGAAATGCTGGCCCTATTTGTTGAGAGAACAGTTTAAAAGAGCAGTAAAAAGAATTATGGAATAACTGATCGAAACCTTTTCATCTGCCTTCCATTATAGTCATAAAGATGCAGATATGAAAATGAACAATTGATGGTCAATCAAACAACTAATATGGATCGTGAATAGCAGCAATACAATTGTTATTAGACCTGCTTCACAAATTGATCATGGAAGACAAACATGAAACAATAATACTATTTGAAAAAGTAAAATCTTGAGGACTAATTGGAAGAGATGAACCTAACTACATACACATACAGAAATACTTCATGTTATTAGTATAGCAAAAAGGTGAGTCTAGACACATATTAAGAAAGAGTAGCCAGAAAATTTAATCAGAAGGTGATCAAGGAGCACTTACCAGTAAGTTGTTGGAATCTGACTTCACAAGGTCTGGTTTCATGCCAGTGGAAGCCGGTATGCCAATTTTCTGCTGATTTCCCTTGACGTGACTCAATCTGCTATCGTATGAGTTGTCCATTTGGTTCCCCATGTAGCCATAGTCTATGATTCCAGAAGGTGTGTAATGATAGGGATATGGGTATGGATAAGCCAAATAAGGACCATTGTAGTAAGGGACATAGGGTAAACTGTGCAGAGAGTACATTCCACCGTTGGCCATGTCCATTGAATCATAATACCTACTGTGCGGAGAGTACATTCCGCCCTTGACCATGTCCATTGAATCATAATAATAATGGTGTCCATTTTGATACCTGCGCCGATCCCTTGGTTCAGCATTTTTAGTTTCCACTTTTATCCCGTTCAAATAATGAAACCTATCCTTTAAAACCTTGACTGTAGCTTCCTTGGAATCAAATGTGACAAAGCCAAAACCCCTTGGCTTTCTTGTGTCTCTGAGAAATCACGACAACATCAGTTATCGTGCCAAACCTCTCAAAATAATCTATGAGATGGTCTTTGGTGACATTATCCCCAAACCCTCCCACAAAGACCTCAAATCAGCATTTGAACTTGAGGTAGTGCTAGTCTGTGCAGATCTTGTTTCTTGTTTCTTTTCTGCCCTCTTCACATCGACCTATACATCACCAGCATCAAAATCATATATACAAAGAATTTTTCTAAAGAATAAAATTGCTTACAAAAAAAAAGAACATAGTAGAATTTGTATAACTTTGGACCAATTTTTTTTGCAAAAAAGACACAGCACACAAGCTTATATCAGTAGATAAATGAAAACAACTGATTCAACAAACCGTCCAAAAAAATATTAAATAGAACAAAATAAGTTTGCATTAACCAGAAAAATATCACATTGAGCTTCTTCTTGGCAAGTCACAGACCTGATAGGCATAGGAGTCAACTATCAGAAAGAAGAACATGATAGATCTATAGGCAGTAGGGACAAACATCTCTATAGCCACACTTCCTACAAAATACATGAAATCATCAAGAACTATCGATTTTTATACTTGAAAATCTTGCTTCTTATGGGTTGAAAACATGTGCCACCTCGCACATTCTCACTACACATATACAAGTAACCAAAGTATAAAGTTCTGAACTGCAGATAAGCTGCAGGCTGTGCACCTCCACCCTACAGATACCACATTGACTATGTAGAGTCCGAACTTATGGACCACGACAACCAAAATAAAGGGTGTGCCCATATAGAAGGATTTGAAATACAGTTGGTCAGCTTGCATTGGGGACAAGCAAGCAAGAACTAGTGGTTTTTAGCAGAAGGATGCAATCCTCATTCACTTGCATCTTCTCTTACGAAGCAAGCTATGGATTTGAAGTTTACCGAAATTATCTAGACAGGCTTCAATTTTTCAACAGGAATTTTACATACATAGCTAAACTCAACTCGTGTTTTTTAAGCACCTCAATTTCACAGTAGTAGTGAAAGCTTCAATTTTTCAGCAGGAATTTTACATACTACATAGCTAAACTCAACTCGTGTTTTTTATGGACCTCAATTTCACAATAGTAGTGAAAGGAACAATCTGATCCACGAGGCTAGGCAAATCAGTGCCACACCACAATTCCCGTAAGCAAAACTTAGATTGATCCCACACTGTCTTAATGTCTAGTAATCCCATAAGCTCTAAGCGCACAAAACACAGTATCAACTACAGCTAAAAGTTGCGATTTCTTAGTACGAGAAACACAGACCATCCAAACGTCGCAGCCGCAAAGCGGTTAATTTTAAACGCCGGCGATAAATTAATAAGGATTAAAAAACTCACCTTGCAGCTGAAAAAGGCGTCGTGCCTGTCGCTCTCCTTGGAGTCCAGCGCCCTGAGGACCGCCTCATCGTCCTCGAACTCGACGAAGCCGACACCGCGGCCGAAGCCGTCCGGGTACGCCATGACCAGCGCTTCCACCACGTGCCCGTAGCGGGCGAAGTGGGCCCTGACCATGTCCGCAGTGAGCCCCAAACGCGGGATCCCGCCGATGAAGAGCTTCCGCGGCTCGTGCTCTTTTTTCTCCATCCCGCCCGCCGAAGACCGCTTCTGCCTGAGCCGCTGCCGGCGGGGCACGAGATGGCGAGGAGTGGGGGAAGGCGGTTAGAGAGGACTGGAGAGAGGGGAGCGCGGTTTCGGTTCGGAAAGAGCGGCGCGCGTGGGCGAAAGAGGCGGAGAACTGAAACGGCTTTGCGCTAGGGTTGGTTGGGTTTGGGCTGCCAGAGATTTAAGCGGGTGAAGGGGTGGACGCGGCCCGTATTGGGTCAGGACTCTGCTTCCTGGGCCAGTGTACATTCGACGCGCTAACGTCCCGAATTCTGTTGGACTCTTGAGACGGACTCCGCGGAGGCCGGGGCGGGCCTTTCTCGGGGAGTCAAGCGTCCATGAACGCGACGATGACGAGTGCTTTTGCCGTGTGCAGCGCGGCGCGAGTTCTGTCGAGACTCTAGACAGTCCAACTACAGCTGCAGGTCTACTACAGCACTACAGCCAGACGCGTAAGAGCATGCATAAGCATGAGTATAACGGCGTCTCTCTCTCTCTCAAAAAAAAGCATGAGTACAACGGGGTGCTTAGAGAATGAGTTTAACGAAAATTTTGACTTTTTAGCTATACTATATATCATTGCACCAGGTGCGTCCAAAGAATATATAAAATGCTTTGGAAATGCTCTTCTTGGGGGCACCTGGACGGCCGGACTCTCCCGTTACCGTGGGCCACGACGGCCGGAACGGCCCAACTAGAATGTTCATGCTCGCCGTAACTCTATTCGTTCGGCCATCGTCTTCAGCAGTCTCCAGAAACGTTATTTCCACTCGCCGCGAGTTCCCTGTGTCGGTGTGGCGTGCTCCACCATGGCTGCGCTGCCACTGCGCTCTCCATCGGCCCGGCCGGCCGCCATACCCTCTCTGCACTGCACCAGAGAGCCGTCGCCCGCCTTCCACCCTTTCCACCGCAGTTAACCGAGCGCTAGCCATTGCACCGCGCTGTCCTCTCACCACTTGCCTTTCCCTAGTGCTGGGGCCTCTCGGGCGGGCATTGCATCCGCTCGTCCGCTGCCAAACACCCCCCCCCCATGCCACTCCACGGCATCGAGCTCCGCGTCGACGAGCATCTATTCTCCCAAGCAGCAAGGAGATGTTGCGCTGAAAGCGCATGTTGCGAGCGTATGTTTCAAGTGTTTTAGATATTTCTGAGGTACGTTGCAATTGTTTCAGATGGATGTTGCAAAAGTATATCGAGATGTTGCATATGTTGCAATGGTTTGTACACGTATGTTGCAAGCGTCTATTTCCAAAGTTTCATCTGTTTTTCAGACGTATGTTACAAGTATATGTTATCAGGATGTTGCATATATTTCACACATATGTTGCAAATATTTTATCTGGATGTTGCGTACGTTGCAATGGTTTTCGAGTGTTTTTTAAGTATTTTTATAAATATTTCAGACGCATATTTCAAGTGTTTTATCTGTTTGCTTTTGTATGTTGCAAGTGTTGTATCTAGATGTTTTAAAAGTAGATTGGATGTTGCACGTAGGATGCAAGTGGAAAGCGACTGGCGGCGCAGACGGACAGCGTGGGCCCGATGCTGGGGCGTGCTGCGCGGGCTCCTTTTCTTGTGTGCGAGCACCGTCCGACGCTAGCGTCCCGGATCAGACATCCGTGCGCTAGAAAATCCGAAAATGCTTATAGGTTCGCTCCTAATTAATTCTTAATTGTGTCAAGTAGATCAGCTTATGTAAGCACCTTTTCCAAATTTCCTTCAAAACGAATTATGTTAAAACTTGCACGGAATCACCCCCAAATTATATATGAAAAATTTGAAATAAAAAAGATGTGATAATCTATCTAGATTCTTTTAGTGTTTTCTCCTGTTGGATTTCCTCGATACAGGCAATGCTCTAGTTGACCACAGTCTTGTTAAAACACTAAAGCCATGGTACAGTCTTCGTGCCAAATGCGTCGATCAACCAACGAGGCCCAACATTCCAAAACATATGTGAAGCGATAAAGAACACCGAGGTGCCTGGGCTGGAGCCCCCCTACACCGCCACCAAAAGCATAGAGCCCCTCTTAATCCCGTTCTACAATTTTGTATGTAGTTGTTGAATCCTAGAACTGAGGGTTAAATGTAGAAAAATAAGGGTGAGAAATCAATCGTATCGTATATTTCTAGATCCGCTGCTACCCTCGGCCGTCATGTTGGATACTTGAATTTTCTCTGTGCGACAGTGATAGAGGTCGATGAGCTGAAGTTTTTTTTTTTTTTTTTGATGAAAGATGAGCTGAAGTTATTGTCAGCTGTAAATTGTTCGCTTATCCCAGAGGTCTTGAAGTTCCCGTCCAGGGCGAGTCCGAGACTCGTCGGGGTGGTGGCTAAGCATACCCTGCTGAAGGCGGAGCGTAGCATGCAATCCAGGAACCTGGAATTTACTGAAGGTAATCTCTCGGCTGATCCCTTAGGCTCTTTACCTTTGTCAAGTGTTGTAGATAAACTACGGGCTTTGGGTCTAGGAGTGAGCAGTAATAGTGTAGATCCTTTTGAGCTAAATGTTCAGGACCTGTTGGCAAAGGATTTAGCGAACAATAGATCTTGCTCTGAGTTTGGGGTGGGGGACGGAGAGTTTTCAGATAGTGACTCAGTAGATCCAGAGATTTTTTAGAGAAAAGCGTTAGAGCACCTGTGTGGGGATTTAATGGAGGAAGTTTTTGATGAGGTTAGTTATCACCTAAACGGTGATTCTAAAACAGTCCAAAGAAGCCGGGCGCTAAGTCGTCAAGGAAAAGAGCTTCGAGGAAACTGAAGGTTAGGATTAACAAATTTATTTCGTCATGAAGGGAATTTTCTGGAATAGCAGAGGTCTTCATGACTTGGCTAAATCCAAATTTTTGGGTAATACAGCTCGAGAGGACTAGACTTCATCGCTCTTTTAGAGACCGGTAAAAAAGATTTTACTCAAGCAAAGTTGGATAAGATTTGTGGAGGGAGGAATTTTGTGTGGCACTGGACTGGCCCTCACGGAAGGTCAGGAGGTATGCTGTTACTCTGTTAGGGGTAAACCTGGATGTTTGTGATGTAGGGAGTATAGAGGAGGGTGATTTCTTTATAAGTTTCATCTCAGAAATAGGAGTGATGATTTTCATTGGTGCTTAGTGGCGGTGTATGGAGCAGCTCAGCTGGAATTTAAAGAACAGTTCCTGGCTGAGCTTGTTCAGGCCTGCAGGAAAATGTCCCTACCTCTGCTGATCGGTGGGGATTTTAACATCATTAGGAATTTCAGTGAGAAAAATAATGATAAGTTTGACAGTCGAGGGTCCTTTTTATTCAATGCCATTATAGATGGTTTGGATCTAAGGGAAATCGAAATGTCGAGAAGAAAATATACTTGGGGCAATTCCAAAAGTGTTCTGACTTATGAGAGATTAGATAGGGTGCTTGCCAGCACAGAATGGGAGCAAAAAATTTCACTAGTCACTGTTGACGCTTTGAATAGGGAAATTTCGGATCACACTCCTCTGCTGCTAAGTACCGGAGAGAAAGTACACACAGCTGGTCAGCCTGAGTTCAAATTTGAGCTTAACTGGTTTCTTCAGAAAGATTTCTTTGATACAGTTGCCAGGATTTGGAAAAGTGTAGACTATGGTTCCACTGCTACAAAGAAATAGCAGAATAAGATTAGAAGGCTGAGACAATTTTTGAGAGGCTGGGCTAAGAATGTGAATGGGAATTTTAGAAGAGAAAAGGGGGAACTGTTTAGGCGAGCTGGGGAACTGGACTTAAAAGTAGAAACCCATGTTTTGAATCAACAGGAACTAGATTTGAAACAAAGCCTGAAGGTAAGAATTACTCAAATGCATAGGGAGGAGGAAATCAAATGGTTCCAGAGGGCTAAGACCAAAAATCTGTTAGAAGGGGATAATAATACAAAGTATTTTCAAATGGTGGCAAATGAAAAAGTAGGAAAACAAGGATTTTTCAGCTAGAACATGAGGGAAAAGTGATTGAGGGACAGGAAAACTTAAAAGCTTTCGTAACAAAATATTATAAAGAGTTGTTTGGGTCATCACAGAGAAATGAATTCTCGCTTGATGAGTCACAAACCGAAGATGTACCTCAGATTAATGAAGAAGAAAATAAGATGCTAATAGACGAATTTACAGAAAAAGAAGTAAGAGAGGCAATTTTTCAAATGAAATATAATAAAGCGCCGGGTCCTGATGGCTTCCCGGCGGAATTCTTTCAAGTGTTTTGGTCTCTCATCAAAGATGACTTAATGGCCATGTTTCAAGAGTTCTATGTGGGTAATTTGCCTCTGTTTAACCTGAATTTTGGTACAATCAGTCTAATTCAAAAACAAAAGGAGGTCAAGCAAATTCAGCAGTATAGGCCCATTTGCATGCTTAATGTGAGTTTTAAGATTTTTACTAAGGTCTTGGCTAACAGGCTAACAATGGTAGTTTGGCAGAACCGTCTAATCTATGTTCTTCCAAGAGTACTTGTCTTCCATTAGACACTAAATACCTAAGAGAGTGCACTAAATCGTGCCGTTCCGTCGAGCACACCTCAAGGGAGAACTCGAAAATCCAAATTTTTCCGTCAGGATCATAAATGAGAATATAAAGCTTACAACATCTTTAGCCATTTCTTACATCACTTTATTACAGTAGCAGAATATTATCTCAATTGATTATAACAGCGGGATATAACAATGTTATCAGAATTTTCAGCGAAAATGTATATAACGACAAGTTTAAGCGCTAGCATGAGGAACATTTATATACATGGAATGATGACAGACTGTAAGTCTTTTCCTTTGCAAAAACATTTTGTGAAAATTTTGAATAAACTCTACGTCAGCAACGTAAGGAAATCCTCGCTGAGCCCACCAGGAGGTTTCCCACACCCAAGTGTAGCTCAACCGTGCCTGTCACCTGCAACAGGGGAAATAAAACCCTGAGTACTCAATTGTACTCCGCAAGACTTACCCGACAGGAGGAAAATAAAAGACTCTAAGGATATGCAAG